CCAGCTCGGCATCCCCTCGGCGGACATCTCGAGTTCGCTCTGTCACAGGGCGGCGGGGGTGGACAACTCGTGGTAAGTGCTGAACCAGATGGCTACAGAGATCGTTGAGGTCTGCCAGTTCGACCCCGCAGATCTTGCACTCCAGGGTCTCTGGTGGGATCAGGCCGTGACACGTGTTTTTGGTTCCCTCGGGGAGGCAATCACCTCGGACCAGGGAACGGGAAAGATGGCGACCCGCGACCATTTTCGAATTCAGGACCGTGTAACGTACCACACATATGTTTGTAGGGCTCAGAACGTGACCAGCGTTTCGAACGTGATGCCTTGCCCGAAGATGATTTTGGAGGTCCCGTTTAGTTCGGAACTTCGCATCGCATTTCTGGCCCTCCACCTCCCACTCGCATTTCCATTCTCGGGGATTCTGAGGAACAGGTGGTTCGAGAACTTCAGGAGGTCGCTGAAATTCAGGGGGAGGGATAGCCACACGAACCTGGGTCGACATAATCACCGAGAGGTCTATCTTGAGAAAGTCGGGAGCCACCTCGGGGCACACGAACCTGCAGGGGTACACCGAGAGCTCCTCCATGACCAGGGCCTCCTCGCCTAAGATCTCCCGGAGGGGGGGGCAGGAGGAGGAGGAGGAGGCGGATGAGGAGAAGGAGGGGGAGGGGAGGGGGATGAGGAGGAGGAGGAGGAGGAGGAGGAGGAGGAGGAGGAGGAGGAGGAAGAGGAGGAGGAGGAGGAGGAGGAGGGGCAGAAGGAGCAGGAGGGCGACGACGACGACGACGAGGATGACGATGGCAGGGGGAGGAGTTGATTCTTGCATGTTCCAGGTGCGGAGGGCCCGGAACTGGGCACTTCCGAAGCTCTGGGGAGTCTGCTTCAGAGTGCCAGGCCCTCGGCAGAGCGGGGCGAGATCATTTTCGGACCCTCGAGAAGGGGCGAGCCCCAGGCCACACGAGGCTGGCCAGGGAGCTCGATGTGCTCAGCTGATCGAAGGGTGGAGCGCGCAGCGCAGAGTCCAACCTAACATCTTCCTCGTGCTCTCCAGCTTCGCCTCCCCCGTGCTCCTCCTCCTCCTCCTCCTCCTCCTTCTCCTCCTCCTTCTCCTCCTCCTCCTCCTCCTCCTCCCTCCTGCGTCTCTCTCTCTCTCTCTCTGACATTCGTGCTGAGGTCGTGGAAGCCTCGGTCTTCGAAGCGGCGCTATCCACTTAGGTTGGCGACTTCGACCATGCGTTATTTTGCCACGGTGCTTTAGCACACCCCGCCGACCACATGCCTAGACCGTGCCGTGAAGGTCAGGTCCAGGTTGCCTGGCATCAGTCCTTTGTTCTTGGCCCTGAAGGTCCTGAGGAGCCCTCTGACGCAGCGATCTGCGGTAACTTGTTCTTCGACGGGTCCTGCACGAGGCACATCATTAAGGAACTCAGCAGGGCCTCTTGGGCCATCGCTCTGCATTCCGACTGTGGCGGTCTGGTGCAGGAAGTCCGGGGGCATGTGTGGGCCCAGTACCCTCAGACCCCTCAGGCGGGAGATTTTTTGTTGCTAGGGGCACGGCTGGCACGATGGTCAAGTACACTCCAATGTTTTGCAGTGAGTGTTTCAATGTGGTCATACATGCGCTTCTTCCGTTGCCTGCTCGTCTCTCAGGCAAATGAATGCACAGTACACTCATCTTAGAGGATCGCGCTCTTGCGTGTTCCAGTATGCTGGACAAAACCACGGTTGATGACCACAGTCCACGTTTGAGCGGTTTTGCAGGACATGCAAATGATTCGGACATTGCTGCTAAGCATGCCATTAACACTCACCCGTCTAGCGAAGAGGGGTTGATGGCTGTAGATTTTCAGGTTTTGGTTGCCAAAACTGTTTGCAAGCTTGCGGGTACAGTTTTGTGTTGGCCCAGGACCGACCTTCCTGGAGCCAGCAAGGTGTCCCCTCCTGTTCCTCCTCCTCGCATCTCACACGACAAGCCAGGCCATCAGTGTGTGGTCTGGTCTGGCTTGTAGAGGTGTCGAGTCTGTTCAGTGGGAAGCAGAGCTCAGGACGAACCTTCCTTTTTGGGCTGCCCTTGCAGAAGTAAGCTCGACGAAGGCGCTTTCGTTTCCTCTTTAGTTTCCTCACGCCGCCGTGCCCTCGCATTTCCGTGTTCGGGCGGTAGCCACTTCTTCGTCTGCAGGCGGTGTCGTTTCCACAACGCTCGTGCTCGAGTTGATGGCCTGGGCAAGCCATGCAGCGGGTCTCCGTCCAGAAAGGCTCACTACGCTTGGCTTGGCATTTATGTCAAGGATTTAGATCCAAACCCTCGCATGAAGCTCGTTTCTGTCAACATCAGCTCGGTCATTGGCCTGTCGGTTCTGATGCGACTGGCACAGATGTGGATCTGACCGAATCGGGCAGCAATCAGGGTGCCCCCATTGTCTTACAGGGCAAGGGCTCTGTTGTGGCGGCATGCCGTGCGTCATCGAGCCCCTGCGGGACGGCCACAGCGCTGCTGCCCACGGTTGCTCCAGAAGGCCCTCCGCAATCTAGCGTTGAGTGTGTGGTTTGGAGGCGAACTAGCCCCAAAAATCAACTCAAAAAACTTTACCAATACTCTGATCCGGCTCTGATTCAACTCTAATAGGCCCTCTTCGCTAGATTCTGGCGAAGAGGATCCTTCTGCGGTGCAGCGAGATTTCGTGGCGTGGAGTTGGCTGCTGCTGCCGAGTTCGGCCTCTCTCCTCGTCCTCGGCTCCTCCCCCCCTCCTCGCGCTGTGGGCGCCTGGGGGGGCCGTGGGCCGCCCCCCGGCCTGGGGTGGGCAGCGGCTTCCCTGCCGCGGCCAGCCGTTCCCGCCCTCGCGCTTCGAGGCGGCCGCAGCGGCTGGACGCTGGCGGGGAAGCCGCCGATGCTTGTGCTGTGGAGGACGATCAGCGGAGAGGAAGCATGTTGCCAAATAAGTTCCAGATGTCTAAAATATGTTCTCAAACATGTTTTCAATATGTAAAAAAGGCATAGTTGAAGCATGTATAGAACATGTTTTACACATTTTGAACACATCTTTAGTTTAATGATCGGATTGTTAGAGTGTCCATTGCCATGGCATCTACAATGCTTGTGCGGCAGCTCCCGCGACCAACAACAGTCTGTCCCGCGTTGGCGCGCTGGCTCCTGATGCTCCCTCTCCTCTTGGCTACGGCGTGGCGTGCCTGCGGGAGGCAGTGACTCTTCGTGCCGTGGCGGCCTCTCTCCGCCTTGAGGAGGAGTTGCTTGATAAGACGCGTGACGCTGCTCAGGAGTCGGACAACTCATATTACTTTGTATGTTTCTTGTTTACTTCCCTTGCCCAATTCTGGCAGGGGGATTCCAGCTTCGGCTGGACATCCCTCTCCTCTTCCTGCCCCTCCTCTCCTCCTCTTCCTCCTCTTCCTCCTCCTCCTCCTCCTCCTCCTCTTCCTCCTCGTCCTCCTCCTCCTCCTCCTCCTCCTCCTCCTACTCCCCCCCCTTCCTCCCCGTCCCTCTTACCCTCCCTCCAAGGCTCTCGAGACGCTGCGGATGACGCCGCGGTTGAGTGCACCGTGGACCTCTCGGGCAACCGGCTGCAGGGACCGGCGCCGCTGGCGGGGCTGCTGCGGCGCCTGTCCGAGGCCTTCGCCCTGGGCGGGCGGGCGGGCCGATGGGCCAGAACAAAACACAGCGTGGAGGAGGATAAGAGGAGGAGGAGGAGGAGGAGGAGGAGGAGGAGGAGGAGGAGGAGGAGGAGGAGGAGGAGCAGGAGGAGGAGGAGGAGGGGGAGGAAGAGGAGGAGGATCATGAGGATCAGGAGGATCAGGAGGAGGAGTAGGAGGAGGAGAAGGAGGAGGAGAAGGAGGAGGACGAGGAGGAGGAGGAGGAGAAGGAGCAGGAGCAGGAGGATGAGGAGGAGGAGGAAGAGGAGGAGGAGGAGGTGGAGGAGGCGGAGCAGAGACAGTGTGGTCCTCCTGGATCCTTAAAAAAACAGTTCCAGTCTGCTCGTCCGAACCCCAGACTTGTCGTTTGAGATTGGCCAGCTCTCTGGTCTTGGTCTGCGGCGGGTTTTGCTGCTGGTGCTGCTACCCCCCTTCCACCGCGAACTCTTGTTCCTTCCGCGCTTCCCTTTATTCAGGAGGGAAAAAAACACAGACACAATTAATCGTCGATTCCCTAGAAAATATGGGAAAATATGGGAAGTGGGGGAAAAACAAAAACCCAGAAGATATGGGAAAATAGGGAGAATCTGGTTATTTGTGTCTGTTTGTTTGCGTGTCCCGGTTTCCCTTCAATTACTCCCCCCTCCTATTCTTCCTCCGCCCCTCCCGAGACTTCTCGTGACGTGCCGTGCCTGTGCACGCCAGGGCCAGGCTCGAGGATTGGCCCAGGGATGCATGCAGCACGCCAAGAGAGCCCGACCCGCAGCCTCGACCGACTTTGCCGGGGTCCGCATGCCGAGCTCTCCGACCTCACCGTCGAGACGGGCCCGTGGAGCTGCCGCCGCCCTTCCCAGGTACCAGACGGTCTGCCTTTTCCCATGCGCAGTCTCGACCGAATTTGCCAGGGTCCGTATGCCGAGCTCTCCGACCTCACCGTCGAGACGGGCCCGTGGAGCTGCCGCCACCCTTCCCAGGTACCAGACGGTCTGCCTTCTGCCATGCGCGGTCTGGGGTGCGTTTTTTGCAGTCCCAGGGCCCGCATGCCGAGCTTTCCGCCCTCACCGTCGAGACGGGCCCGTAGAGCTGCCGCCACTCTTCCAGATACCAGACCGTCTGCTTTTTCCCCCCATGCGCGGCCCAGGGTGCGTTTGCTACAGCCCCAGGGCCCGATGAGGGGCGCCGGAGGCCGAGGTCCTGGAGAAACGTCGGGATCGGAGAGGCCAGGTCGTCGGAGACCTGGGTCGTTGCCTCCAGCTGACGGCAAGAGTCCCCCTCCCGAGGCGAAGGTCCACACGACGGTGCTCCGGCTGCACAAGAACGAGTTCACGGACGTCGCCGCCGCGGTGCTCGCGGAGCCGGGGGCTCGGGCTACATGGGAGGGTCGGCGGCGCGCCCAGATGGACGGGCCGAGGGGGCTCGAGGCTCGAGGTCCGAGGTTGTCGGACGGTTTCGTCGGTTCTCGGTGGTTCGTCAGCCTCGAGGTGCTTTTCAGCAGCTGCGCCTCGCTTTTTTTTTTTTTTTGTCTCAGAAGGCTCAGGGGGCATCCCCGGCCTGCAGAGAAGCTTCCCGAAGCTTTTTGCCGAAGCCACGAAGAGAGAGGGCTTCTGAGAAGGTCGGGGGGGCTTCTGAGAGGCCCCACGGCCTTTGAGAAGGCTCGCCCCCTCTCGCTTCTTGTCCCCTCGGCGCGCCGCCGACTTTCGGAACCGAAAGGGCGCTGGGCCTCCCAGTGGTCTCCTGCTGGGGGAGGGGCTGGCAGTCGACAGCAGGGCCCCTGGAGGCTTCGGCCTCTTCTTGGGCGGAGATCGATCTGGGCCGTCCGAGCCCATCGGTAGGGGGGCTCCAACAGGAGAGAAAAGGAGGAGAAGAAGGAGGAGGAGGAGGAAGAGGCTGACGATGATGATGATGATGATGATGATGATGATGATGATGATGATGATGATGATGATGATGATGATGATGATGATGATGATGATGATGATGATGATGATGATGATGATGATGATGATGATGATGATGATGATGATGATGATGATGATGATGATGATGATGATGATGATGATGATGATGATGAGGAGGAGGAGGAGGAGGAGGAGGAGGAGGAGGAGGAGGAGGACAACGAGCTCGTTCTTCCTGTCTGGCCAACGTCAAAAAAGAAGGATGAGGCGGAGGAGGAGGAAGGCGGAGGCACGATGATGATGGTGATGATGCTGATGCTGCTGCTGATCATGATGCTGATGCTAATGCTGATGCTGCTGTTTCTGATGATGTAAATGGTGATGATCTTGATGCTGAGGCTGATGTCGATGCTGCTGATAATGATGATGAGGATGATTATTGTAACAGTGATACTGATGATGACGTTGCTGCTGATGACGCCACTGATGATGATGATTACGATGATCATGATGATGATGGTGATGATGGTGCTGATGGTGATGCTGAGGATGATGGTGATGATGATGATAATGATGACAAAAAGGATGATGATGCTGATGATGATGATGATGATGATGATGATGCTGGCGCTGATGATTACGACGACGGCGACGATGATGATGCTGATGCAGATGATGCTGGTGCTGATGATGCTGATAATGATGCTGATGCTGATGATGATTATGCTGACCATGATGATGATGATGATGATGATGATGATGATGATGATGATGATGATGATGATGATGATGATGATGCTGATGATAATGATGACGATGATGATGATGCTGATTTCGATTATGATGATGATGCTGAGGATGATGCTGCTGCTGATGACGACGATGATGACGATGCTGCTGATGATGATGACGACAACGACGATGATGATGGTGATGATGCTGATTCTGATGATGGTGATGCTGCTGATGATGATGGTGATATTGATGATGACGATGAGGTTGAGGATGATAAAGAGGACGATACTGATGAGGATGATGCTGTTACGGATGATGATGACGATGATGATCGTGATAATGCTGATGATGATACTGCTGATCTTGTTGCTGCTGATGATGGCGATGATAGTGATGAAGGTGAGGGTGATGACGCTGATGATGCTGCTGCTGATGATGATGTTGATGCTGATCGTGATGAAGATGGAGATGCTACTGATGATGTTGATGATGATGCTGATGATGATGCTGATGATGATGCTGATGATGATAATGATGATGATAATGATGATGATAATGATGATGATACCAATGACAACGGTGATAACGACGATGATGGTGATGCTGATGATGTCGATGCTGATGATGATGCTGATGATGGCTCTGATGACCACGACGACGACGATGCTGCTGCTGACGACGATCATGATGCTGATGCTGATGCTGATTATGATTCTGTTGCTGATGGTTGTGATGGCGCTGATGCTGCTGCTGATGATGATGCTGACGCTGACGACACTGATGTTTATGATCATGGTGATGATGATGCGGCTCAGGATGATGCTGCTGTTGATGAGGAGGATGCTGCGGATGCTGACGAGGATGATGATGATGGTGGGTGATGATGATGCTGGTGATGACGCGGGTGATGCTGCTGCTGCTGATGCTGATGATGCAGCTGATGATGATGATGATGATGATGATGATGATGATGAAGAAGCTGATCATGAGGATGATGCTGATGATGATGATGCAGATGATGATGATGCTGATGATGATGATGCTGACGATGACGATGATGGTGATTCTGATGCTGCTGATGATGATGATGATGATGATGCTGATGATGATGATGACGACGACGATGATGATGATGACGATGATGATGATGATGATGGCGATGCTGATGATGATGATGATGACGATGATGATGATGATGATGATGATGATTATAATGATGATG